GGCTAACTCCAATCAGATCTTCTAAAGGTACATCGGCAACGAGACCATGTCCGAGTTGTGAACTGGGACCTAGCTTTGCCTCGACCTCATGGGTTGCCTTGGATGTCTTTCTCTGGACGGTGATCATCATCTCTTTGAAACCCTTGAGCGCTGATTGGCGAGAGCGCACTGAGTTCTCCTCGCCGTTGTTCGTGTGTTGTAGAATGATATCGTTTACCAGCTCGTCGATGCTTTGGAGGATCACTGCCAACTGGGGAGGCTGGACAGTCTGCTCGACACCAGCATTCTGTGGGTGCTCCATGGTGGCTGGCTGGTTCGGCGTTGGTGATGAGTTGGTTTGAAGAGAAAAGATGGGTGGGGATGTGGTGATATGTCAAATAGCTAGGTACCTACCTCTCAGGATGTATTTGAGGTATGTATTTTGCAAAGTTGAAGGTGGGGGCTTGAGGAAAAGGTCGACCTTCGTGGTTGAGGCAAGTGCGCGCACTCTTACTATGGAAATAGTTGCAAGTGCATGTACCTAATCTGCAGGTGGCTTGTTACGTGGGGTTTAATGTATTTGTACTGATGCAACCCCCGGCAACATGCAGGCGCGGATATTGTTTATGGAGGTATGTAGGTACTTATAGTGCTGTGCGACCACCCTATACTCATGTCGTTTGAGATGATGTTGACACTGGTGTGGTGATTGTTATTATGCCAACTCTTATCGACACTGATCTTTTAATAATTTTTTTTGATCTTCGTCTGGTGGGCAAGATTGCTCGAAAAAAACATCTACTAGCCTTTCAGTGAGTCCGTTCGCTACATTTAGGACTATTGACTAGGATACATGGTTACCTTAGGTAGGTAAATACTGCGCGAAAGGTGAGAGCACGAGTCAATACATACATGTATTGCTGCTGTCTTTTTCAAATGCTTGTTACTTTGTCAGACCATCGATTTGCTTATTGAAACAATCGAAAACAGTCGTGGTGGCAGAATCTCGTGTAAAGTCAATGAATGAATGCTATGACTAACACCTGAATCATTAGTTGGGATCTCGCTTGGTTCATAAAACGAGAACTTTTTATTTACTTTGAACATCATGGGATACCTGCTGAACCTAACGGGTTCGTGTTTCAAGTTTGTTGAAAATATGCAACTGGTTCCGATATGACGATTTGCGCCATACTTCAACGGCATATAAGCTCCGAATATATGATAAAAGATATATGGTATGGGTATATAATATCTCTGTATATGCTCTCGTACATGCTCTCATATAGGCAACTACCTACATGTATGCAGTTTGGTGGTTTACGTGGACTCGCGGAAACTTTCCGCAGGCTCAGGTTCCTTTCCATGACTTCCATCAACAAACTCCCATGTTGCCGAATGAGGGCAATGTTAGAGGAGACCCTTTTCGCACGCACAAGTGCGGGGTACATAAGCGATTTAGGTAGCAATCAAGGCCTACTGTGCCCTCACGAGGCAGTCTCCGGCTTCCGACCGATTACTAACTTTTGGGGGTAGTAGGCATGGATGTTGGGCGACCGCAGCTCACGCCGCAGATGTGCAGCATAGACTTGGATTTCTTCCTTCGTCCATCCCATTACCATGGTCCACATATACATCAGAAAACCTAGGATATAATGTAAGTATTATGAGACCACGTGACAGAATAGAGGACGATAATACTATACCTTCAACATCTTGCTCGATAGCGAGCCTGTTGTATTGGCCGATTAGTTTTTGGGTTTCGTCGGCTGGCCATGGTCCTAGGGGTGTCTGTAGATGACAAGTTAGTCGAATGATGTCGCATACCTAGGTAAACTGGGCTTTAAAACATTAGGTACCTTCATATCTATCTCTTCGATGATCTCGAAACCTGCCGCCTCCATACCTTTTCTCTGTAAGCCTTCTTCCACGACGCTGAACGTACGGCCAAACTTCTTTCCAGCCTCTGTGAACACCTTGCCCCACTGATCTATAGCAGACCCCTCAGCGACAGTGCCGTCGTCACTGATGAGCAGGCATGAAGATTCTTTGTGTTCGAAGTATCCACCGGGCTTCAGCGCCTTGAAAATCTCTCGGTAAAGGGCATACCAATCCGGGACGGACCCTGTAAGCCAACGTAGGTGGATGTAGTCAAAGCTATTTGGTTCGTACGTCCACGGCTGCGTCACATCATCTACCTCGAATTTCAAGTTTGGTGGGATCCATTGAGGTTGCTGCGGCGAGATATCAACACCGATCACCTCGGCTGCGGGAAATTGGTCGGCGAAGTCACTAAGCCAGATTAGCACACAAGGACCATCGCCGATAAAAGCGCAGGATGATTTACATTGCCCAGATTCCTACATGACTACCATTAATAAATCGATACTTTATCGGCGAAGAGAGAAGCAGTGTTATGAGACTCACCAGTACCACAAGCCACGTCCAGGACTTTCTACGATACAGTCAGAATGCGTACACCGAGACGCTGCGATAAGGGGTTTCTTACTTGGATATCATCGCCAATCGGAGCCAAGTAAATCTTGCCGTCTTGCATTAAAGTTGAGACATGGTGGCTATCAGTTAACGTTTAGCTCATCAATCCCGGTAAAAGATCATGCTGGAAAACTGCGAGCTTACAGAATATCCATAGACTCATCGTGCAAAGCATCATTGGGGTTCCTTTGATATAAGTCAGCACTAGCGAGCTCTACGTTACAATATGCTTAACGGCTTGGGGGAAATGTCTCACCAAGATTGTGCGTTGCCACGTTCGCTGTGATATGTGCGACCGTGCACTGTCCGATACTCCAGGATGCTAGCAGTTAGCGATGCGGTTGAGCTAGCATTATCGTCACCATAAGTGGAATCATCATCATCGGTCTCCTCGGGGTGCTAGAATGATACTCAATAATTAATCACTTTGCCCTGGAATGGTTTGAAGGGATTTGCCTTTTCAAAATGTGTTTCTGACGTACCGGTACTTGAGCCCAATGTGATGCGGGAAGAATATTCGGATTAGTGGTTCCCGGCGTGGGAGCTCCTGTTGATGTTGATATTGATGTTTGAGCTGGCGCTGTTGCCGGCTGTGCAGATGTTGAGCTCTCCGCAGTGGTACCCGCAACATCACTGGTGCTGGCCGAAGCCGTCTTGGCGGGTGGATCGGACATGTTGATGTGTACTGGACCTAATATACCTAGGGACAACGCTTGAGCCTCGAAATATCTGTTCTCTCTTGTTTGCACCCTAAGGCTCTCGATTTATGGCCAGATCAATGATAACAGGGGAAATTTAAGATTTCTCCAGAAAAGAACGACACAGCTGAACCAGCTAGAGGCGTTTGGTACATAGGTAGATGGTGGGGGGTCTACCAGGAATATATGCTAATGCCAATGCCAATGTTAACCTATTGTTATCCCATGTAAATTGGATTGGCAAGACTTCCTGTAAAAGCTAGAAAGGGGGGGAAGTTGGAGCTCTTATTCAAACATGCACCTTTCCTTCCATACGTATTCGGCTTTGCAAACCACCCGATTAAGAAACTCTCCGAGCTCTATCACCAATGGCGGTAACGGTAGCGAGGCAGTGGTTAGACGACCATGCCATGGATATGCACGTTATATGTAGGTAAGTATGTGAGAATTTATACATTCTAAGGTGAAAGGTATGAGAATCTTGGAACTATGTAACCTCGATTACATAGTAGTTACATTGATGATGCGGAGGCTAGTGGAGGCGTGTGGACAACTTAGATTTTATGGACGTACAGGGAAGACGATGTATTGATCTGGAGAAGATGGACGGACCATTGTAATTTTTCTCTCTTCCCTATTGGAACTTCTACCGGGGTCATCCGTCCCAACTTACCAGGTCTTTCAGCTCTTTTTACTGGTCTTTCTTGGTATCTGCTGTTTCATTGGTGCGCAGTTTTTGTCCATAAGCCGCCACAATACCTGTTGCCACGTTTTGATACCGAAGCCCCTAGTCGTCTTCGCCGAAAAGCTGCATTCCATGATCTACTAGATGTTACACAAGATCGCCAATATCGAAACCATCAAATAAGACGCACCGGATCGTTGTCTTCAGGCTTTTATAGGAATGTATTCGATCGGGCATATCCACCTTAGTCCTTTGTCATATGCGGCTGTCCGTTGGCTCAGATATAATTGTACGACCGGATGAAGAAAAGAGGGAATATTGCTGGTGTTGGCTCAAGTTCATTTAATCACCTCTCACCGGCCAAGTTAGTCTAACTAAGCAAGGGTACCAAGGCAAGTATAAGCACCTTAACATTGTCATATATCAGAAACCAGAGTTGTTCCGTGCGCACAGATTACACCGCCATAGGGGATAATGAGAAGGGTTCGTCTCAATTACATCCATATCAATCAAGGTAGAGACGCTCGCAAAAGTCCTAATACCGTACTTAGAGATCCCACTCGATGGCGATTTTCAGGCATAGTTACACATAAAGCCCCGTCTTCCTGTCGCAAGGAACGGCCCGGTATTACTTTTTAAAGGGCCAGTTGGCTCTGTTAGGTACAATTTCTTCCATAACGAAAGCACCCGACTGTGCGGTCGAACCATTTATCAACCCGTTAACACTAGGAAAACCCCTCGCCAGTATCCGGAGATTCTAACCGTTCATGGTGTTTCTTTTCATCGTGTCGACTGCGGGGCTCAGCTTCTCCTAAGTGACTTTCATCGGCCGAGTCGGCTCCACCGAATATCTTCAGAAGATGGACTGAATCTGCACAATCAATCATTATGGGTTCCATGCAGATATTTTTTTCATACGCTTATTTATTCTGCAGCGGGAATTCCGGCGTTGAAAAAAAAAAAAGGTGTGCGATTTGACTATTGGAAAGGAGAAACAGGTTGAGGGTGGGTGTAAGGGAAAAAAAAAAAGATCATCTAGAAAGTGCGTGTGTTAGTTACCGTTCCTCTAACTTAATTAATTATCTGAATGGAAAGCAAGGCACAGGCGGGTGAAGAAAAAAAATTGCAAAAATATAAGGCGTTGCCCACTACTGGAGTCGAACCAGTCATCTCCTCATAGCTTCCTCAGTAGGATACCACTAGGCACATGTGGCAAACACATGGATACTTAATGGTACGAAGTACTAGTGAGGCGCATTACCGCTGTGCCAAGCGGGCTGGCAATATTGACAATTTGATTAATTAAGATAGCTCATAAAGGAGGTGCCTATACAAGTGTCGAAAGAGACAAAATTCAGGGCTGTCTACCTAGGTATCCCACTGTAATCCATTTTCTGATAGGTGGCTTCCAGCGGATCCACCACAGTCGGGAAGCAACTTGGAACCTACCTTACCTTGAAAATGTAACCCCCCCAAAGTGCAGCAACTCACCAGAGTGCGGCTGCACAAGCGTATTGGTATGTACATATGTACTTTAAGTATATTTTTAATGGAAATAGATACATAACCGTGCCTTGTAACTACTTATTCTAGTCGATATATACACGTAACTACCTCTTGAACTACCCAGTTAGGTACCTATCCATGTATGGGAAGACAGTGACTCGGTATTCTAGAGATGAGGGTCCATCTACCTAGTATCATCACGACGTATGGATGACGATAAGTGTCTACTGTGCACCTGGAGCCAGTTGAAACACTAAGCTAGAAATCTGCTCTCATTTCCTGTGTGAACTAATGCGTGTGATGACTGTCATGTATTCCCGATTTCAAGCCTCGTGTTTCAACTCCTTACACCTAATTACCTAACGGTACCTAGGTAGGTACCACGTCTGGCTTGGTGATATTGTGTAGAAATTTTATAGTTGACGCTTCAGGCGGAGATTATGAACCTGTCGAATGAGAGATGTAGAGATATTTTAAGGCGAATCCATTCATCAAGCGACTAAAATTTAATAAATACCTAATCTCATCATGACCTGAGAATATGCCGTAGTGAGTACCTAGGCACAATCTCATTAATCAGTACAAAGCCGAATGATCAGTGCTATAAATCACGACTGGATTGGGTGATTACCTACCTAATGTATCTGAAGAGTGAAATACCAATATGCGTGTCAAGTGACTGCGCGATCTAGAATCTGAAGCATTTTGACAATTGCTATCTCTGAGTCTAGAAAGGGCAACCTACCCAACCGCTATTCTTAATCCTCCTGGCGTCAGCCTCTGCTTCCTCGACTCCCTTACCTATACGGTTCTTGGGCCCTATATCCGAAAACAGATATCCCTGAGGCATGTGTACCTCCGGATCATCACCTGGCACCTTTCCGCCGTACAACCAGACGGCCCAAGCAACTGGACCCCATCGGTTCCACAGCGTCGGCTGGATATAGAAAGGGAAGTTTCCGTAAGGAACGTGTAGGTGCATTCGGCCCGTCTTCGGGTCCGGGTCACGAAGCCGCTTGAACTCGAAGAAGCGCGGCACTGTCAGGTACCGCACTACAAAACGCCGTATCGTAATAAGGGAGTAGACTAGGGCCGCAGCCGCAATGTCCGGTTCATGTAGCCTAAATAGTCAACATGCTTGATCTCTATATAGCATCTTCATGTGATAATGTAAGGGAGGAGGAAATCCACCCGATCAGTGCCACCCGCGATCTTGTGTAACCAACTAATAGGCCAAGACCGCCATAGGACGGTAAGCCATCAGGGGTGGGGTAGGGGGTATAAACGTACATAAAGGCGTCGCGCACTCTTTCGCCTAGAAGACTAATCACGCCGTCCGTTGCAAACGACTTCGCGAACCATGGCACCCAGTACGTCATCATAGGTATGAGTGCCTTGGCCGGTTTGGCACACACGACGCTGGGCTTCATGGCTACGACCTCGTAAGACTTAGCCCAGGCCGCGATGTCGTCAGCAAACTCGATGCCATCGCGCCATCCCGACTCTGCGTGAGCGAGATACCCCTTGTACTCGATGCCCATGGCATCACCCACGCTCTTCCAGAAGACGCCGTACGCGCAGTACTCCATGTCGTTCATGGGGCGGAAATCATACATGCGGGCGAAGCGCGGAGGCTCTAGCACGAATACAGACAGCGTGTATAGCAAGTCCGCGTTTGAGATGGTACCCTCCTTGATGTACTTGCTATGGAGGAAGTTCATGCGAGCTATGCTGTTCACTGCACGATCTGAGGTTGGCGGATTTATCATAAACTCGCCGATCAACAACCCCGTGTCCTCGAATCTGCAGGCTGTTTAGTGGTCTGATTGGCCATCTTCATGGTTTGCATGATATTTGGCGGGCGAGTTCAACCAAGCAGTCCGTGAAGACATTTCATGCAGACTTCCACGGGATTATCGAATTATAGAGTCTCTTTCCTGGTGGAATGGGATATGCACCAGATACAAAAAGCGAGCAACTCTTACCTCTTTAGACTCCTAACTGGATCTGTCAAATTCCCTGTAGCTAGGAGCATGCGGCTTATGGTCTCTACACCGTACGTCTAGAAATCCGCCCAGCTGGCGTCAGCAGATTGAAAGCTGAAAGCCCCAAGAATTCTCGGATTTGATTGTAGCACTGCATATGGAGAAAGCCTCGCACCTCGACTCACCTTGAAGAGCGCAAATTCCAGAGCGAGGAACTGGAATAATGGCATTTCCCACGCAGTCAAGAATTTAATGATCTGCTGGGCGTCGACGACTGTCATGCGAGCAAGTGACGCGCGGTCCGGATAACCTAGTCTCTTGCGCAGGCCATGCTCACGGCGGTAGCGCAGTGCCCGGCATAGCCCGACATAGAATATGCCGACGGGAATAATCAACTGTTTCCAAGGCACCGACGATAGTATATCCGAAAAGGTCTGCGGCGGCATGATCGTCGCCGCCGCCGTACGGATATCGGGCATTGAGAAATTCATTGCGAGAGGTGTGCGATCTAGGTCATCCGGTCTTCGAATACGACTTAGGAGTTATGACGAGTGAGTTAGTCACGTGGCGACCCATACCATGTATGTATGTAGGTACCTAATATATAAAAGAATAGAATTTAAGAATGGAACTTGTTGTTCCGCTATCTAGGTAAAGGTTACGGTATATATATACTATACTTCTTTGTCCAAGGTAAAAGAAACATGACGATGGGAGCTTATTGGCTCAATGTTACATCGAGCCTCAATTCGCAGAGCCAACGGCTAACCATCGTTCTTCTTGCCAATACCCTACCGTACGATGCTCTCGAGACGTGTTGGTAGATTGACAACACATGCGGCCGGAAATAATTCCATCAAATGTTGGTGGAAAAGAATGCAGTGACTAGCACAACCGGGGTGGAGTTCCAGACTCAAAAAGCGAAAAGATACTGCAACTTGGGCCTAAAATAGAAAGTGATAGACATATGGAAGTGTCAAGGGTCTAAGGACGGCGGTTACATATACAAATCATGGATGTATAAATGGGGTCGACATCACAAGAAGTTTGGAGTTGGTACCGAAGCTTTCGGCAAATTTTCATTGTTGAAGCTAACCCGAGTATTACTACCGGTGCCATCCTAATTGGTTAGGTACCTACCTAATAACACATCCCACCTAGTTGCCTAGCACAACTTGACGAACTCATCCAATGTCTTTGGAATATATAGCTTTCCAAAACAGCTATACCATCCCTAAAACGTGTTGGTCATTGTGACAAAACGTAATAGCAGGCATACGGTATAGTCGCAGACCAGGACGCTGCTTGGAGCTTACTGCTTCCTGATTCGATATCAGTTGACTAGGTATCATTACAAATCCATCCATCAAGAGATGATGTACGCGGATAATACTCATATGTTAAAATCCAGTAATACCTAAGTTTTTTATAATAATTGTTCGTCGTTATCATAGTCATTCACGCTTCCTTCGTTTTCTCCTTTCGTGTCTTCTTCCAAGCCTTAATCTGGTTCAATAGGCCAATAACCAGAGGAACCCCCACAGGTCCTAAGAGTGGTAGATAAACGGCAATTTTATGCTCCTCGGGGAAATAGAGCTGCCCAACCATACTCTTTTCGAAAAAAGCCCGTTCCGCCTCCACGTCAGCGATACGTGCGTGCTCAAGACTTTCAGTTCCCCCAAGGTTGGAACATGCTGATTGGAGGTGGCGCATGGATTTAGCGACCCCATCGGCGACGCTCGATGGGATAGATATACTAGGTAACGCCAAGGACAGACGAGCTAGAGACCCGAGCGAGGAGGAAGCTCGTAGGAGCAGATCGGCTGTTCGAATCCGCGCAAGTGTCGAAAGACGCATTGGCAAGGACCCTGATTGTGGAGTTCCTAAAAGTGAGAGAAGATGTGATGTGAATGTTAGGATAGGCTGCTTTAATAGTTCTGAAGGGACGTGGTCCGTAGATGGGGGCGGTAGGAGATATACAGAGCCCCATTGTGGTATAAGCCAGGACTGAGAAGTACCCGTTTCTGAGGCAGTACCGATAGTTTGGTTACCAATAAACACGACGAAATTGACCGTTGGTGCGCCTCCTATGGAGGGCGACAGGGGCCATTCTGCGGCGTTGATGAAGGAAGACAGATCTTCCTTGCTTAGCACCTGGGACTGTACGCCGGGGGTAGCGTATAGTTGGACTTGGGTATCGATGGTAAAATTGTGTATAGGTCCAAGCATATCTAGGATTGGTTTCATATACTCGTCTATGGCAGACTCGATATCCCAACTGCTCGGGACTGGCCCGCTCGTGAACAAGGAGAAGGTTAAGTGGTAGGTTCGGGAGTACTTTAGCGACCTCGTCATTCGTTTAGACAGGGTGTCGGTTAAGCCTTGGGGAGGGCCTAGCGCTCGTTGCTCAAAAGGCATGGAAGAGGTTGCTAGAAGATATGACATGACATCTCGCTCCTCGGAGAAGGCCTCACGAAGTTGCGTTGCCAGGTATGTAGCGAAGCCAGAGGAGGCAGCATCTGGCGCCGGGATCAGATCTGGAGTATATGTGACCTCTAGGACGGGTGATCGAGAATTGAGGGAGGATGCGGCGACATCGCCAGGGCTGAGGTATATCGTGAGAGCAGCGTTTGAGTCGTGCGTTCGGTCATTTGTGTGGTCTCCATTAGCCGATCGCGATACCTCAAGTTGTATATGGTGTCCTTTGAAGTCATTCGTAGTGTCTAGGGCCTGTTGGGTAATGCGAACCAAGTTCTCGATCTCGTCGTTTTGAAGACTCGGCGCATC